CACACACCTCATTGGTCCATAGATGTGGACAACAACAACATCTGGTCTGCCACACAAACACATGTCAGTGTCATTATAGATTTCTTTACACATGGACAAAGTGTGAGAACAAAACCTCAGTGATAAAGGAAAGTCTGGTGATTTCTCTGGAGGAGACACAACAACACACAAACACATCAATGCAAATATTCCTCCAACATTTAGAGCACAGAGAAGTTTACATTTTCATCTGGACAGATGTCAGTTTAGGCTCCAAGCAACAAACATGGAAAACTAAGAAGTTTTAGCTTTAAAATAAAGATTTTAACAAACTGCATCTGACGTCACTTTTGTCTATTTGAGTTTAATGAACTCAGCAGTGTTTTCATAAAGAAAAGGTAAGACTGCACCATAAAACCGAAGTCCAGCATAGAGAGGCTGAGTGAATGTGGTCTGGACTCTGTGGAGGAGAGTCATGGTTCCAGAGATGCTGTAGAAGGACAGAATACCTGCTGTGTGATCCAGGTACACTCCAAGTCTGGAGGTTTGAGGACCTGAGACGGGCGTTTTGATGTTGTTGTACCAAAAATTATAACTGTCTTGATCACAATATAATGCCCAAGATTTGTCATTGTATCCAAATCGATTTTCATTTGAGCCCCCTCTTCTCCTGATATCCTTGTATGCGACTGCTACACTAACTCTTCTCCCTGTCCACTCCACCTCCCAGTAACAACGTCCAGTCAGACTCTCTCTACTCAGGACCTGACACTTATCAGTGAATCTGTCTGGGTGACTAGAATGAGACTGTTGTTTTTTCATTAATGCTGCTTTTCTGTTTCCCTCAGATAATAACAGTTGTGTGTTTGCTGTGTTTGGATCCAGTGTGATTTCACATGAATATCTTAAGAATCCATATCTGGTCTTGGGCTCTGCTGTTGACAGTAAAACATCCACTTCAGTCAGTGTCAGTGAGACATTTGTTGATGTCTCCCTCAGAACGTCCTGTAGTTGGTCTCTGACCTCT